CCCCAGCAACCAGACGTGGCCTCCTCATCCTGTTCTATAGGTTGGACAGTCCTGGCTGGTTGGGAGTCTTTGCTGGCACACCACTGACCGTCCCAGTTCCTGCTTTCACTTTTTCCTTGTTTCTGAGTTTTTGTTTGCAACCTTGTGCCATAGCACTAAACAGGTCAGAATCTTTTTTTTTTTTTTTTCAGTACTGGGGATCAAACTCACGACCTCATGCTTGCCAGGCAAGTGCTTGTGCCACTGAGTTAAATTCCCAGCCCCCTCAGATCAGAATCTTTCTCAGATCCCCAATAGACAACATTGATTTTGAGTATTCAGGAACAAGGACAGCTTTCCATTTTCTTTTCTTTTTTTTTTTTGTGCTGGGGATTGAACTCATGACCTTGTGCTTGCCAGACAGGCTCTGTGCCATAATCTTTCTATGACGATGTCCTCATCAATATCATTTTCAGAGTAGAGCAGTTTTCATTATAGAGGTCTTTCACTTTCTTTGCTAGGTTAATTTCTAAATATTTTATTTTTCTTGATGATATTGACAGTAGGGGTATTTTCCTAATTTATTTCTCAATGGGTTCACTATTGGTGTGTAGGAACACTACTAATTTTTATGTGATTTTGTATCCTGCTAACATCTGAATTTTTAAAATTCATGGGGAATTTTTTTGGGGTTTTCTATTAAAGGATCATATCATCTGTGAATAAAAATAGTTTGATTTTTTCCTTTATGTGTTTCCTTTATGTTATCTCTTTTTTTTTTCTTTTTCTTGTCTGGTTTCTCTGGCTAATGTCCAATCTCTCCTGTCCTTTAAGAATTGTGTTTAGGTTTCTTCAGCAATTCTAATAGACTTAATTTACAAGTAATTTGCTGCTTTTTTCTAACAGTTTTTAAGGTTCTGTCTTTGTGTTAGATTTCTGGGATTTTGACAATGATGTGTTATTAAGAACTTTTCTGATTGTGGCTATTGGTGATTTATTTATTTATTTTAAAGAGTATAAAACCAAGAAACATAAAACAGATAAAACCAATCAAAATAAACCAGTGTAAGTGATATAGAACTTCAAAATCTTACAAAATCAAGAATAGTTACCATAATGCCTTCTGTTGTTCTCAAAATAGCTGCAAATACATTCAGACATAGTCAAAATTGAACAGAATAGAATAGAAACAATAAAAACAAAACAATAAATGCAATAAAGGGCTTCAAAATAAGCCAATAGTAAATGCACAATGGCTACCATAAAAGTCTTGCTATCTTTTAAGTAGCTGCTCATGCCACCAAACTTAATATAATCAAACAAAACAAGAGAGAACAAAACCCAACCCTGAAAAACAATGAAAATGATATGGTTTCCAGGTGGGAATCACTTCCTGGTGATTTTCTCCCCTTTTCTCCCCTTTCAGTCTGTGAATCTATTGGTTTTATTGGCTCACTTCTCTGTAGTTTAAATTCTTTCCATTTACTTTGAAAAATTTCTATTATTACTGTATTTGTTTACTTTTCTCTCATCACTGGACAAAATATGTGACACACAAAATGAAGGAAGGAAAGGTTTATTTAGTTTACAGTTTGTGGTGGTTTAAGCCCAGAATCAGTTGGCTCCAACGCGTGGTGCCTTTCCGTGGAATCTGGGCAACACTTCAAAGCAAAAGCAGCTAGAGCAAAAGTAGGGCAGAGCAAGCCTCTTTCCTTCCCTATATAGTATGTGGGCCACTCCCAGCCACCAACCCCCCCACCCCAGATGTAGCACTCACAAAATCTCTGTGTTCTCCTCTTGCACAGGATGAGACTATTTACAAAGTAAGGATCCTGGCTCCCTGCTAAGCCTCATAGTTAAACTTTTCAACTTCCCAAGTTGATACAGTGTATCAACAATAAAATTCTGTAAGGAGAGATTTTGTGCCATTTGTTCTACATTCTAATTTTTCATTAATTCCAATGAATTTTAGAGAATGTTCTTTGCATCATTTAGCAGTTACTGGTTCCATCTTCTATTATCTCTTTTAAGATATTTCTGAATATATCATCACCCCTATTTTCTAGTTCTGACTATCTCCTTACATTGCTCATTGCTGCTGTCCATAATTTCCAATCAAAATTTTTTCAATCTCCAGGGTTTTTCTTTGGTACATTTTCATGAATTCTAATTTTTTGTTAAACAGATCATTCATGTTTTGTGTTATTTTGTTATGCTCAGCAAGTTATTAAAACTTTCTTTGTTGAGTTTGAAGATCAAACCCAGAGCCTCACACACGCTAGGCAAAGTCTCTACCCTTGAGCTTTGAATTCAGCCCAAATTTTTTTAAACATTTTTATTTTTTATTGGTAAATTTCAGCTATGCAAAATGATAGCATTCATGAGAAGGAATTTGTACCTGCACATGATATATCTTGCTTTTTGTTTCCCATTATCTTTCCCTTCTATTATTCCCTTTTCCTCTTTATAAAATGTTTTTATCCTTAAACGCTTTTTTCTTCTCTTCCTTCCTTTATCCTCCATTCTCCCCATTCCCTTCTTATTTGAATATTTCCTTCTCATATTCCAATATCTAATATAGTATTTATTCCTTATGTATACTTCTAGTTTCTCACAGTAGAGAAACCACATGGCATGTATACATGTGTGTCTGATTTATTTCACTTAAAAGTATGGTCTCAAGATAAATCCATTTATCTAGAAATGCCTCCAGCTTATCCTTCTTTGTGGCATAGTACCAATGTATAAAACCTCCCCACATTCTATTTATCCATTTATGTATTATTGGGCATTTGGGCTGTTTCCAAGATTTAGCTGTTATGAACTGTGTTGCCATAAACATGGATATGTATATAACACTGTGGTATGATGCTTTTAATTCTTTTGGGAAAATACTAAGAAGTGGTTGGTTAAATGGAGCTTCTGGTTTTAGTTTTTTGAGGAATCTTCATTCTTTTTTCCACAGGGGTTGCACCAGTGTGCATGCCTACCAATAGTGGAGAAGTGTTCCTTTTTCCCCATAACTCTACTAGTGTTTGTTATTGGTTGATTTCTTGATAATAGCCATTCTTTCATGAGATGGAATCTCAATATTGTTTTAACTTCATATTTCTCAAATGACTGGAGATGCAGAACATTGTTTTTCATATACTTAATTGCTGTTTGTACTTCATCTGAGAAATATGTATTCACTTCAGATATCCATTTTTGGATTTGGGGGGTCTGTTTTTTTGAATTATATATTCTCCGTATTATTACTGTTTAAAGAACAGTTGGAAAGGTTGTTCCCACATGGTGGGTTGTTCCTTTACTCTGTTGGGGATTTCTTTTGCTGTGCAAAAGTATTTTAATAAGATGAGATCCCAGTTATTCTTTATATTTCCTGTGCAATTGAGGTTTTGTTTATAAAGTCTTTGTCTTCACCAATATCTTCAAAAGTTCTTCCCATTCATTCTTCCAGAAGATTTAGTGTTTCTCTTTTAATATTTAGATCTTTGATACATTTTCATGTTGATTTAGTCCATGGTGAAAGGGAGGGGTCTGGTTTGAATCTTTAGCATGTGGAATGTTAGTTTCTGAGCACCATTTATCAAACAGGCTATATTTCTCCCACTGAAGGTGTTTTGCTCCTTTGTCAAAGATAAGGTGGTTGAGTATGTTTGGAGGTGTTTTGGCATCTTCTAATCTGTTCCACTGATGGATTTTTTTGGCAGAGTCATTTTTTTTTTAAAAATCAGCGTAGCTTTGTAGTATAGTTTTGAATCAGGAATTCCAATGCTCCTGGCCTTGCCTTTGTTGCCTTGAATTGTTTTTTCTATTCTAGGTCTCTTCTGGTTCCAAATGAATTTTTAGGATTGCTTTCTCTACCTTTGTGAGGTAGGCTGTTGGAATTTTTAAAATCTGAGATTGCATTCAATCTGTGCAAGTTTCTGTTGCTATTACCAACTTTTGTGTGCGTATTATGAGATTCTACTGCCCAAGTTTTTGGAATACAAAATGGCACATATGTCTGAGGTACACAGGCAAAAATCCCAAAACAAACAACAAAAACTCTCCTTTTTGTAAAAGTTACTAAAATTCTTTTTTTCGCCAGCAACCTAGCCATGTGAGGATCAAGTCAGACAAGGTATTTAAAAGCCACCAGTAACTACTATTGTTAAATTGTGGGAGGGGGATCATAGTACTGGGATCAAGACGAAACATTTGGTTCCCAGCTTTAACACCTAGCTACACGAGACCTCAGAAAGGTCAATTTCTGTTACTAGTTACTTATCAGGTAACTTCACAAGACACGAGAATAAAACATCTTTCACGTACAGTTCACGATAATACATGGATGGCACAAAGGAGGCAGTGAACTATCATTTGGTTGATAAGAGTCTCCCTAATTTATTTAGAAAGCACATTATACACATTTACAGATAGGCGCATGGAATAACTCTTAAAGGACAAAACACTTTTACAGTGCTGGCCTCAGGGAAGGGAAATTAGGTGTAAGTAAAAGAGAAACCTTCCCACCATGTCACACGTTTAAAAATCAGTTTAACTAAAAGCCAGAAATATACAGACACATTAAAATTAAAGGAATGCACATAAGAGGATAATTTCACTCCCAATTCATCCCTTTCTCACAGTCCTACACGCAGTTTTATTTCCCTGAGTATCTTCTGCGTGTAAGAATGCACCGACCCCCTCCTTCTACATGTAGATTCCATTTTTTCTACATTCTTCTGCATCCAGCTTTTCACGCATACACTCCAGCTACGAAGCAGTCTCTCCCCACCTGCTGGGAACAGAAGCTAAACACACAAGTAATGGGGGCTACAACCGCCCGCCCCGCCCCCCTCAGGCCCACGTGTGCTCTCAAGGCCCTCTTCCGGGGTTGTTCTTGGTGAGGCCTATTTAGAAGAACTAGTCCAAAGCCCCGCCCACTCTCCTCTCGCAGGCGTCAGGACGTCTGCTTTTGCACGGTATTCCGCGCGCGGCGCCTCAGGCAGTGCGCTAGACAGCCCTGTCTACAGCGCGCCGGGGGCCTCGGAGGACCCTAGCGACAGCTGTGGCGTAGAGCCGGGTGGACGCAGCGGTGGCGGTCGTAGGGATTGACTGCGCCGGTATCCTGCGGAACGCGATTCTTTGGTAGCCCTTGCCACACTGGCTGACTGCTTTCTACCTGGCGCCATGTCTGTGAGCGAAATCTTCGTAGAACTGCAGGGCTTTTTGGCTGCCGAGCAGGACATCCGAGAGGCGAGCCTCCTCCCTCCCATCCCCTTTCCCTCTCCCTTCCGAGCTGGGCCGCTCCGCCTGGCCCTCCTCCGTCGCTCTGTCTCGAGCGGTGGGGACGCCTCCGAGGGTGGTTTGCTTCCTCTCTAGTTGCAGGTTAGGGCACCTTTCCGCTCCCGCCCCCAGTTCTGCTTTTCGTCCTGGTTCTGTGTCCGGGTCTTGGCTTCTCAGCATCATTTGCCTCATGTGAATGTCAGTTTTCTTCCTTTCAGCACTTCTATGTCGAAGATTCGGATAGTGCGTGGGACTCAGCCAATGCACATTTCCTGTATTTGTTGTTGCTATCTTGAGAGAACGTCCGACTCCCCTCTTTAAACTCTCCCTTGGCTTTCTTTCTCAAAGTAGATAAAATACAGACTATCATGTAGTCCACAAGATTTCTTTCCAGTCTCATTTTCCTCTTGGATATGCATGTGTACAAAGGAATGTATTGATGTTTTGTTACTGAACTGTTCACCTCCTTTTCGTTCCTCTAGTGCTGTAAATAGTTTTCTGTCTCAGGATTCTTGCACTGTCTGTTTCTTGGAATTTGCTTCTTTCTTGTGCTTTTCCTCATCTCATATTCGTCCCCTTTATCTCGCAACTGAAATGGCTTCTTCTGTTATATTTCCTAGTAGCACGTTAATTTTTAAAATTTTTTTTGGCATGTTCATTTCTCAAGAAATTTTACAATTACTTTGAAAAGATGTCTGTCTTCCCTATTACATGCTAAGGTGCCAGAGGAAAGGAACCATCTGTTTGGTTCCCCAGTATTTATACTGTGCCAAGCACATAAATAAGCTCCTTGAGTATCTGTAAAATGAGTTAATGAAAAATACTCAACCTTTGTATTGCATTTAACTATAACAGTGCATTCGTATGATTATGTATTCTAGTCATTGTAGGTTCTAGTTGGATAATTGGGATGGGTAAGTGGCTAGTACCCGTCAAAGGCTACGAGGAGAATCTTAAGGGTTTTAAGTGACTTTCAGAAGGTTTCACAGAGAAAGGAAGTGGAAAAATCAGGATTTAAGCCAGTTTTTTTAAAAAATGGGGGTTTGAATGTATATGAATGTGGCAGATTAAATGTACTATCTAGAGAGATTGGTATGAGTGTGTGATAATGAATATGTTGACTTTATCTGATTTTAAATTTTAATTTTTTTCTAGGAAATCCGAAAAGTTGTACAGAGTTTAGAACAAACAGCTCGAGAGATTTTAACTCTACTGCAAGGGGTCCATCAGGGTGCTGGGTTTCAGGACAGTAAGTTCTTTGAGTTTGAAGACTTTTATCCAATTTATCCATCTCTTATTTGAATTCTTTCCAGAAGACATACCTAGTTTAAATCATTTTATTATGATAAATGTTGATTATGTTTATAGTAAGAAAAACTGGAGATGTAGTGGTTTAATCATTTTATAGTTTTATAATATTGTTCATGTTTGGATTTTCCAGGTGTAATTTAAATAGTGATGATTTATATTGTGATGGAATTCTATTGACATTAATTATTTAATAGTTTTTGCATATCTAGCAGCTTTATTTGGTATTTGTGTGTATGTGTGCATGTGTGTGTGTGTGCATGTGTGTGTGTGTTTGAAGTCTGGCTGTGTTGTTTAGACTGGTCTCGAACTCCTGGGATCAAGTGATTTTCCTATCACAGCTTCCTAAGCAGGTGTGTACATGCCTTTGTACCCAGCATGTGTGTTTGAATCCAACCTTCTCATAGCTGAATAACTGTTACATGCATGTGTAGATACGAGATGGCCAGTATAAATGCTGTCTGATGAGTTTTCAGTCAGCCTCTTGAGTGAGAGTGAGATGTCAAGTTTAGACATAACACCTGTGCTTTAAGATATATAAGCATAGCTGAAAAAAGTAAAATTATTTTCAGATGGAAAGGAATACAGCTGACAGATGCCAGAAGCAAGTCATTTATTTAGTGATGTGGAGATGGTTGACTTGATAGAGAATAATTTTAAAAGCAAATTTCAACCAAATGTGAGAGCTAGAAGAAGTCCAATTTTAGGTATCTTCTGAGAGCTGAATAAAAACAGCAACTGTTATACAGCCCCTTAATGATGGGGTTATTTATGACATCTCCCAAATTACCAGTGCCTTTATTAACACACACCCTTTCAGCAAGTTTTTATTTTTTAGTACAGTTAGTCAGTAGGGAAATTAGGTATAGTCTTTCAACAACCAAGTTATGTGTGTGTGATTGTGAGATTTTTTTTTAAAAAGTTGATTAATTTCTAGGTGAACTACAATATTTAGTAAGAGCTGTATTTGAAATTTACTAAGGTTTTAATTATTATGTTTGATTACCTTTCGTGATCAGTTCCAAAGAGGTGTTTGAAAGCTCGAGAACATTTTGGCACAGTAAAAACACATTTAACATCATTGAAGACCAAGTTCCCTGCTGAACAGTATTACAGGTTTGTAAGAAAAATAGCATTATTTTGTAATGTTAGGTGATTGCTTATCACTAGGTAAAAATCTCTGTAGAAGAAATGATATAAAGAAGCATGCTGATAATGGTGGTGACAAAATTGATAATTTTATTCTCCATTTTTGAAAAAAATTTAAGGAACATATTACTTTGCAATGAAAAAGTGACTAAGAAAAAAATTTTGTTTGACATGAAGTTTTTTTTTTTTAATTAAATTTTTTGGTATATTATAAAAAATGACTACTTTCATTTCAAGGACTTGTATCTGCACATGATATCTCAATTCCTCTTTTTTTTTTTCCCCTAGTCTTATCTCTTATTCGCTTATCCTCCCTTAATGCCTCTTCCTCTCATTTACAAAGCTTTGTTTCTATTTCTGCCTCTTTTCTCTTTTTTTTTTCTTTTCTTTTACACTTCTCCTTCCCTCACCCTTGTTTCCTTTCCTAACTGAGCATTTTCTTCATATTTCATAATATCTAGTGTGCATTCTGGTCCCTATTTACACTTTGGGTTTCTCATACCTTTGAAACAATACAGTATTTACATGTGTATTCAATTTGTCTCACTTTATAGTATCAGGATTCATCTATTTACCTATAAATGTCTCATGTTTATTCTTCATGGCTGAGTAATACTTTGTAGTATAAAAAACCTTACATCTTCTTTATTCATTCATTGATTGATAGGCATTTGGGTTGTTTCCAAGAGTTAGCTATTACAAACTATGGTGCTGTAAACATGGGTGAGCATACATTGCTGTGGTATGATTCTTTTAACTCTTTTGTACTAAGTAGAGGAATAACTTGGTTAAATGGAACCTTTAGTCCTAGTTTTGTGAGGAATGTCTATACTTGATTTCCACTGTGATTGTACCAGTCTACAGTCCCACCAGCAGTGGTGAAGGGTTCCTTTTTCTCCACAGCCCTACCAGCATTTCTTATTGGTTGATTTTTTTTTTTTTATATCGGGGATCGAACTCATGACCTCACACCTGCCAGGCAGGCCCTTATGCCACTGAGCTAAATCCCCCGGCGTGTAAAAGCTTTTTAATAAGATGAGATCCCAGTTGTTGATTCTCTGTTAGTATTTCCTTTGTGGTCTGAGTTTCATTCATGAAGTCTTTGCCTGCCCCAGTATCTTTAAGAGTTCTACCTATTTTATCTTCTAGTAGATTGAGTGTTTCTGTCTTGATTTTTGTTGTTGTTGTTGTTTTTTTTTTTAATCGGTACCGGGGATCGAACTCACGACCACACACTTGCAAGGCAGGTGCTTATGCCGCTGAGCTAAATCCCCAGCCCCTTGTTGTTTTTTGAGGCAGGGTCTTGCTATGTATTTCAGGCTTGAACTTGGTATATAGGTGAGTGTCTTCAAACTTATGGTGATCCTCTTGCCGCAGCCTCCCAAATGCTAGGATTAAAGGCATATGCAACCACATATGACTTGTTTTGATATTTAGATCTTTGATCTATTTTGATTTTAGTTTAATGAATGATGAGGGAGATGGATTTACTTTTTGTCTTCAGCATGTGGAAAGCCAGTTTTTCCAGCACCCTTTTTTAAAAATTAACTTTATTGGTACAAATTTAGATATACATAATGATCACTTTCATTAGAGGAAGTTTGCTTTTATAGATGATATTTCTTGATTCTTCTTTTTCCTCAGCCCTCTTTCCCTTCAATCCCTCCTCCCCTCCTTATTTATAAGAGCTTCATTTCTATTTCCTTCCTTTTATTCTTTTTGCCCTCTTTCTTCCTTTCCCCTTCCTTCATCCCTAGTTTCCTTTCCCATTTGAATATTTTGTTCCTATTTCCCAGTATCCTTATACATTTTGGTCCTTACTTACCCTTTCAGTTTCTCTCACCAGAGAAACAATGTGATATTTAAACATGTGTGTCCAGTTTATTTCACTCAAGAGTATGGGCTCTTTTTTTTTTTTCCCTTTCTCTTCCTTTTTTTCCCCCTCCCCTCTTCCTAGTTCCCTATTCTTTTGAACAGTTTTTTCCTGTTTCACAATATGTTTTATACACTTTAGTCCTTATTTACATATTCAGTGTCTCGTATCAGAGAAATGATCTGATATTTACACATTTGAGTCTGATTTTTTTCACTTTAAATTAAAATGTGTGGTCTCAAGGTGCATCCATTTGCCTAGAAATGTCTCGAGTTTATGCTTTTCATGGCTGAGTAGTATTCCATTGTATAAAAAACCATATCCTTTTTTTATCTATTCCTTGGTTCATGGGCATTTTGGTGTTTCTAAGATTTAGCTGTTGTAGACTGTCCAGTACCTTTTATTAAAAAGAATATCTTCCAGTGAAGTTATTTGGCCACTTTGTCAAAGATAAGGTGACTGAGTGTGTTTTTGGAGTTTTTCCTGCATCTTCTAGTCTGTTCCACTGATCCTTGTTTTTTTTTTTTTTTTTTTTTGCCAGTACCATGCTGTTTTTATCACAATAGCATTATAATATAGTTTAAAAATCAGGGTTTATGATTTCTTTGTTTGGCCTTTGTAGCCCAGAATTGTGTTTTCTATTCTAGGTCTCTTCTGGTTCCAAATGAATTTTAGGATTGTTTTCTCTAATTCTGTGAAGTATGCTAATGGTATTTTGATTTGGATTGCATTAAATCTGTATGACAGCTTTGGGAGTGTGGATATTTTCACTGTTGGTTCTTCCAACTCAAGAACAAGGGATACCTTTTCATTTTATAATACCATCTTTGATTTCTTCTTTCAGAGCACTGTAGTTCTCAGTGTAAAGATATTTTACTTCCTTTGTTAGTATGATTCTGAATTTTTTTCATTTTTGGTTGATGCTAAGACAGGTGTTGTTTTCCTAATTTCTCTTGTGCCTGTACAGGAATAGTACTGATTTTTGAGTGTTGGCATTGTATCCAGGTATGCCACTGAATTTGTTTATCAAATCTTAACAGTCCTTTTGTAAAGTTGCAGGGTCTTCTATTTAGAGTATTATGTCATCGGCAAATAATGATAGTTTAACTTACTCCTTTCCTATCTTTATTCGCTTGCTTTCTCTTATCTAATTGCTGTAATATTTCTAAAATTATATTGAATGGGAGTCATGGTAGTGAACATCTTTGGCTTGTTCCTGATTTCAGAGTGACAACTTTGTTTCTGATTATTTCGTATGATGTTAGCTGTTGATTTGTCATAGATAGCTTTTATCAATTGAGTTAAAGACCATCTATTCTCATTTTCTGTATGTTTTTTTTACCATAAATGGGTGTTGGATTTTGTCAAATGCTTTTCTGTGTCTATTGAGGTAGGATCTGTTGTTTGAAGATAAAATTTTAGAATATCTCAGATTTCCTATGCAATTGAGTGAACTATGCATATGCTATAAAGCAGTGACAGTGAACCTTTTAGAGGTTTCTGTGATAACAAAGACCTTTTTTGTGGCACATTACCAGAGGTTTTCCCCAGCTGCTATAAAGTTATGAGATTAGTTGGCAGTATATATATACATATAAGTTGGGGTTTTTTATTTTTATTTTGTGTGTGTGTATGTGTGTGTGTGCGTGTGTGCGTGCGCGTGTGTGCACAGGTGATTGAACCTAGGGTCTTGTACAATTTTAAGCAAGTACTCTACCTTTGAACTACATCCCTAGGCATTTTTTAACTTTTATTTGGAGTTAGTGTCTCACTAAGTTGCCTAGGCCAGACTCTAACTTGCAAGTACTCTTACTTTACAGTCCTGAGTAGATTGAATTTCAGGCATGCACTATGCCTGGCTGTCTAGCTGAGGTTTACCTCAAAGATGGAATTTTGCTGCCATGGCACATACAGTACTTAGAAAATGTTTTATGCTATATCATTGAGTCTGTAACACCATCAATTTTAAGTTTATGTCATGACTTTATATACTAGTAGAAAATAAAAAAATGTTGCTAAATATCTGGACTTTGTAGATGCTTAACTAGGGAAAACTGAGCACTGATGAACTATGATAAATTATTTGTTTTCTTACTAAAAAAGATGTTCATTTAAGATACATGTTTGTTTAATGTAAGATGTGTATTGTGGTAGATAATATTACTTTACAAGAAAATACTTTAGGGCTGGGGTTGACAAACCACTGGTTGCCCACTGTGTCTGAGAGCTAAGGATTCCTATCACATTTTAAGTGTTTGTTAAGAGAAAAACAAGTAAGAATATGTGACAGAGTGAAAGCAGCTTGCAAAGTCTGAAGTGTTTGCTGCTTACCCTTTATAGACAAAGTTTGCTGGCCCTTCCTGTAAAATAATGACTGAAGTGCGGAAAAGCAAGATAGTTGAACTAGTGAGTTCTTCAGAGACCGTCTGTTGTGGGAGTCGCATACAGGTTGGCCTCTGGCTAGATTTGCTCTCAGAAGTTAGTTTGATCTTTAATGTATTGAGAAATTATTTTGAATATATTACATTTGAAATCAGGAGGCATTGTACAAGATTCCTATTCCCTTTGTCAGACTATTAGTTCAGAGATCAGAGAGCTGAGTTTTCTTTTTTTTCTTAAATGGAGTGTTGCTATGTCGCCTAGACTGGTCTTGAGCCCCCTAGGTTTGTGTGCCTTCCACTTGAACCTGCTAGCTCTGAGATTACAAGCACTTACCTTGCTGATAAGCAGTACCCTAGGAATCCAAAGTATTGTGTGTGCAAACTGTCTGTTAATCAAGATTTTCTTAATATTCTAAACTCAAAGTATAGAAATAAGTTAGATGTTGAGGCTTATATACAGTTGTAGATGGCATTAGTCTTCACTTACAAAGTTTATTTTTCTCCAAGCAATATTGTTACTGTTTTTTTTTTTTGGTCTTTTTCCTTTTTATCAAACTCACGACTGCCTGCTTGCAAGGCAGGCACTTATGCCGCTGAGCTAAATCCCCAGCCCCCAATATTGTTACTCTTACAGATCAAACTTCCTAAGCACATTACCCTGTCACTCATAATCTTTAATGGTAAATTTTTATAATCATCAAAATTGGATCGTGCTTCTCATTGTTACTGATAAATAAATGTTACCAATTTAAACTTGTAAAATTTTATACATAATCGATTTAGTATATTTGAATGTATTATTGCTTTTACATGTTTTATGTAGCAGGATGTCACATACAATTTTATTTGGAAGTATTCCATTTCCAAGCTGTTTAGATATGATTGTATTAAACCTGTCTTTAAAGGTCCCAAACTTCACCATGTAAACGCACTTACTGTCCTGCAGGTTTCATGAGCACTGGAGGTTTGTGTTGCAGCGCTTGGTCTTCTTGGCAGCATTTGTTGTATATTTGGAAACAGAAACACTAGTGACCCGAGAAGCAGTTACAGAAATTCTTGGCAGTAAGTGTTTTTATTGGTGGGATCAAAAATCAGGCATGATAGTTTATTTTTTGGTGGGAGGAGTTGTTGCTTATACTTTTTATTAAAACAAATAAAAACTAAATAGAAAACTTGTTTCTTGAAAACACCAAATCTTAAATAGTAGCTTGTTCATTTATACGTGGGTGCTTTTTTTAATTTTAAATTTAAGTTTAAACAATTTCAAATGGTGTGGTGCACATACCTGAAATCCTAGCACATGGGAGGCTGAGGCAGGAGGACCTCAGCAAGTTTAAGACCAGCTTTGGCTACATAGGGGGTTCAAAGCTAGGCTCAACTACAGTGAAACCCTATCTCAAAGTCCCTCCTCCTGAATTCTAGCATATAGAAAAGTTGAAAGAATCATATAGCAAACACCTAATTGTAGCTTAGACTCACTACTTGTTAGCAGTTGGCAAGCTTCTCAGTTTTCATGTGTGTCTCCATAACCATTTGGAAAAGAGTGCAGATTTCATAACTTCTTTTGAAAATGCTTTAGTGTGTGTTTTCGAACAAGAAGTATGTTCTCTGATGTAACTTGATATTCTTGCTGGTATTTGTTTTTTTTTTTTTTTTTTGTCTTTTTTCTTTTTATCGGTACCGGGGATCGAACTCATGACTGCCTGCTTGCAAGGCAGGCGCTTATGCCGCTGAGCTAAACCTCCAGCCCCCTGGTATTAGTTTTTGAAAGGAAGTTTTGGAAGTAAAAATTAAATTTTGGTAAATGCTTGCAAAATCTGCAGTGAGGTGTACTTGCCAAGGGTGTGGACATTTTAAGAATCCAGTAAAGATTTATCCTTTCTTTACTTTGTGATTTTTTTGGGTATTTTTAGGAGACAAGGTCTTGCTATGTCTTCTCTTACTTCAAAAGAACTTTTATTTGTATGTGTGTACATGCATGTATATTTGAACTTACATAAATATGTATTTGTATTCTTAGGCTTATAAATTGCATTCACATTGTGACTTCATCTTTGATATTTTTTAGTTGAACCAGATCGGGAGAAAGGTTTTCATCTGGATGTAGAAGATTATCTCTCAGGAGTTTTAATTCTTGCTAGCGAACTGGTAAGACAGTCAGCAATTTGCTGCTTGCTTTCTTAATCTTAGTTCTTTTTTTAAAATGAATATTAAAACTTAGGAAGCCTTAATTCTTTTTTAAGCTATCAGTCATGTGGTGGTCATTTAGTCATTGGCTGTACTCTGTTATGGTTTATTAGAAAGAAATGCTTGTTCAAATGATGAAACAACTGTGTGATTAATAAATTGCATTTTACTAAAAATTACTAATACGTCATTTTATTTATTTTTTTTTGTGGGATCAGCGTTTGAACTGAGGGCCTTGCACGTGCTAGGCATGTGTTCCACCATGGAGTTATATACATCCCAGTCCTTTTTAATTTGTTTTAAATTTTGAGACAGTCTCACTGTTGCTGTGTTAGCTTTCCTGTTGAAACTTAGAGGAGGAGAGGTTTCTTTTGACTCACAGTTTCACTGGGTTCAGTCCAGGGTTGACCAGCTCCAAAGCAGAAATGGCATGATGGAAGAACCTGGTCGAGGAAAGCTGCTCTCATCATTAGAGTCAGGCAGCAGAGAGAAAAGGGGAAAGCCAGAGATGAGCATATGCCCTTTTGTGTCTGCCCCCAGGGACCAGGCCTTTCTATGCCAGGTCCTTTGAGGTCCTGCTTTTGAATAGCAAAGTGAGCCCTGAATGTATCAGTGGACTGATTCATTGATGAATACAGTACGTCACAATCTGTCATCTTTTAGGAACCCCACATTTGAACTGGAGACTTGCAGGGGACATTTTAGATCTGAATCATAGCAGTTGTCCTGGCTAGGCTTGAACTTGTTCATCTTCTTGCTTCAGTCTCCCAGGTAGCTGGGATTCCATGAATGCACCTCTGCCTGGCTCTAACGTGTGAAGTTTTAAAAGTTGATGGTTCCTTTCTTCTTAATGCAGTGATAGCATGTATTCCCAGGACTGTGTTATCATGTAAGGGTTTTAGAGAACAGTTAATTTATATAATGGTGTAAGTATTATCCTTTATAAGTTGTTCTTATTCTCGATTCCCTTAGTTTCTCTTAGGTAATTTTTCTATGAAAATAATCTAAGAATAAGGAAAACTCAGAGTTTTGAGACTTAAAGTTTGAGTATTTGGAAGAGACTGTTCAGTGGCTAAAATGAACATGTTACACTGTCTGGATCTATACAAAGTGTACCTAGTCTTGCTCAAGCAAAAGCAATCCAGGGCTAGTATAATACTGCTTTGAGTTTTGGCCTTTGTATCCTTTTAGCTTGTAGATTCTTTCTCATGTGCCATAACTTGCTGTAGCTCTTTATGTCATCATTACAGACAGTAGTAAAGAAATTAGGTAAAAAGGTGGACCTTCTCACTTTAAGGATGTTTGTTTGAAGCTTCACACACAGCTCACATGTGACAGTCTAGTGCCTTGAGGCCAAGGATGTAGCTGAGGGACAGAGTGCTTGCTTAGCACGTGCAAGGCCCTGAGTCCCATCTCCAGCATCGCAACAGCAACCCCAAGAATTCTAGTGCCTTGTTGGTAGGGCAGGAAGAAGTGGAGTCTATTGGGGCAGGCATGTATGGTGAAAATTTGAGGAATTGGAACTGAAGATGGTGAGGAGAAGTGATGCTTCGGTCCACTGGCAGGCTATACCACTTGCCTGAGGCCTGTTGGAGACACCTGACCGTTAAACTTGAATTCTAACACTTCGGCAGGGTAAGGGAGGTGTCTTTAACACCACATGTGCTGTGACTGTATGAAATGGGTACTTTAGGGAAGCCTGAAAGAGTGAGGAAAGGGGGCATTTTTGAGTTGGATCTTGAAATTAGTCTTAACTATTGTTCTAGAGAGTGTTGAACTGAATTAATTTTAGCTTATTTTCCTGTCTCTCGTCCAGTGATTTTAGGTGACTGGAGTTGTAGCTCAGCAGATGGGCTCTAGAAATGTGATCATGTGACCTAGATTTGAAAAGTTAGAACTGTTGTGATCACCACAACAGAACTGTCATTTCTTTCTTGAGTACATTAGCTGATGAGTTGACTCTTGATAATTTAACACTGTTTTTTTTGATACTGGGTACCAGGGATCGAACTTGTGACCTTGTTCTTGCCAGGCAGGTGCTTATATCACTGAGCTGAATTTAACACATTTTATTGTACAGTAGCCAGTTTAAGGCATTAGAGAAATTTTAGAAGACATTAATCATACTAAACCTGTATTTGGCAGGCTATGTTTCCTTCCATAAAAGTCTTCAGAGAAGCTTCCATTTCTGTCTGTGCTTGCATGTCTGAGCTGAAAGCATCAGAGTGGCTGTCAAGGCCTGATGTTCTAGTTATTGTGACTCAGGGATGATCTAAGGGGGAGCCACGTTGTAATGCCCATCTTTCTTTTCCTGTGCAGTCAAGACTGTCTGTCAACAGTGTGACTGCGGGGGACTACTCCCGGCCTCTCCACATCTCTACCTTCATCAATGAGCTGGATTCCGGTTTCCGCCTTCTCAACCTCAAAAACGACTCTCTGAGGAAGCGTTATGACGGCTTGAAGTATGATGTGAAGAAAGTAGAGGAGGTGGTTTATGATCTCTCCATCCGGGGCTTCAATAAGGAAACAGCAGCAGCTTGTGTTGAAAAATAGGAGGCTCCCCCTGCTCCTGGCCTTGCTGACCCAGCAGTTGCCAGGGATGGGTGAGCACAGAGTGCCTCTTTCTGTAGTTAGGATGCCCAGTTGCTAAGCACTGCGCTTTATTTTCTTAACCAGTTGTGTGCTATGAGTACCAGAATTGAAACACTTTTTTGGGAGTTAAAATTAGCCTTTACATGGACAGAATTTCCATTGTTGTTTTGGTGAATTTGCTCTGTAATTTGTTGTATTTCAGTTCTGTCAAAAAGTGTAAATGTTGGTCTCTTGGTAAAGTCCTTTTTTTCTTGCTTACCCTGACTGTTGATGTACTGATTGAGAAGTTAATGTGTCGTTTGTGATTCTTCCAGAAGAGACACTTGATATTTTCTATATTCAGGTTAACCATCCATTCCCAGGTGTAGCCTGGATGTAGTATAAAAATTAAAAAGGGTAGTTGACAAACAAAGAAAGCATACTTTTTTCTTCCTTATTTTAAGCTTTGTGAGTAAATCAGATGTTGAATTTTTTGCAAAGGGAATTATAGGCTAGGTTCTTTTTCACTGCCATCAAAATATAAAAGATTAAATTACAAAGTCAAGCTCCCGCAGATTATTTTGGAACTTTTTTGTATTAAAGGATTTAGTAACATCTTACTTGGTTATTCCAGGTGGGGAGTAAGGCTTAGTGTTTTAAAACATCTTTGCTTTCTGATGTTGCCTTAACATTCTGCTATTGTAGCAATTAAACTTAGTCTTCACACACATTTTGAACTGACAATGTGATATACTGTTAATCTATGAAACCTTTTTCCTAGCAGCCCTCTAGATTTGGTCTGGGACTGTAAAGTTATCCACATATGTTAATTAGCAATACCTCAGTGAGAGTGTTGTTAAAGAAAACTGTTATGATTGGTCTTGAAAAAAGATAAAACATCAGCTTAAGAAATTGGTGCCCCATTTTTCTCCCCACTTTTAGATAATAATGAGTCCTTGCCGTGTAGCACTTGCTGTTGAATTGAAATTACTAAAATGGTGATTTACGCTGGGTTGTTGCTCAGTGGCACATCACTTACATTACCATGCCCAAGGCCCTAGGTTCAAGCTCTACTCTTGAGCATGCAATGGACATCCACACCTGCATATGCATGTGTACATACACACACACACACACACACACACACAAATGGTGACTTAATTCACAGTAGTTTGTTGACACTCTGAAAGGAAGTTTCTGGTGTTTTCAAAATAATACAAAGGGTTTAAAACTATTAGGTAACTATTTGTTACCTAATACCAGTTTGGGCTTCCCGTTTGTGCAGTGGGATCTTTGGCATTGCTTTCATAACTTTTACCACACCAAGTTAAGGGCTGATTGCATTTTTCATCATGAGAAAAGGAGTTGAAATAAGGCATGAGTAGTTTTGCCCTTCTGGGCTTTAGAATAATTTTTTTGATTTCTTTTTGTGGAGTTTGTAGAAAGCCAAGATGTTAGGTTGTAAAAAATGCTTAGGGTGCTTGCTTAAAATGTACAGTAATAGTATTGCCTGGTTTGAACATAAAATAATACTTTCATGATCAGTTACAGGCAGTAAAGGTTCCTACCAGAAGTTGTGGATTTTGCGGGAGGGAGGACTGGTGGGATGGGGTCTTGCTCTGTTGTCCAGGCTGTTCTTGAACCTCTGGACTTAAGCCACCTTTTGTCTCGGACTTCTGAGCAGCTGCATCTCTAGAGGCATACCACCTTGCCTGGCTCCTGAAATTTCAGTTTTAATCCACTTTTAAGTGGAACGCATTCTGGTCTTCTGCTCCATTTGAGAATTTAGAAGTGTCATGTTTACAATTAATGAGTTGTGTTCAATGCTGGCTTGTAAAGCGATAAAATACTTTTTTTTTTTTTTTTGTCTTTGTAAGTGTACCACTGTGAGAACATTTCTGTGTGAAGAATAAATTTTGACTTTTTTTGAGGCTGAAAACCCAAGAATGATAAGCATGTGTTGTGGTGTAATAGTTACTCTAACCAAAGGATGCTGGCCACTCTCGAGCAGTTTAGTATAAAGTGCAGGGGACGGCTGTCTTGGTTAGGGACTACATTGGATTGGGGAAGCTTTTGAGCTGAATGTGTTGAGGTACTGTGCTGTTTCACACAGCAGAATTAACTTCTTCCTTTGTAGTGCCACAGACTGACCTCTGGGACTTGTGCATGGTAAGCGTATGTTCTACCCCAAGCTACATTCCCAGTCCCTAGAATTACTTTTTTCAGTTTTAGAAATCAAATAGGTTAGAGGAAGTAGAGGTGAAGGAGGGGATGTTTTCTCATGGGTTCAGTTATAAGAAGAAAATTAGATATAAGTATTTGGTGGAATTTGTTTTGTATTAAATCATAACACAAGTAATTAAAGACAGCTTCATCAGTGTTTTGAGACCTTTGTTGAACAGGTGGCTAAAGACACGAGACACCATAAAGGTTGCTATGGACCAAGTTTCATAATTGTGTGCTCACCAATTACACCTTTCTTGTTTCTTGATCTGGACTGAACTGTTTGTTTTGGATAGAGCATCACTGCCATGTCTGTTACTAAAGAATGACATTTCTTGAGCCCGATACAATTTTTCTTAGTGTACAGTATAATAAACATTAAATAAGCAGAAATAGTCTAGAAAGTAACAGCAAATGATTAAGGCAGGTAGAGTTGGCAGGGCTGCCTGATTGAGGACAGTGAGGGAGAATGGTGACTGAAGTCCCTGCCAGGTTGCCCACTGCATGAAGAAGTGCTGCTGTTAACTGAGGTGGGAAATGGAGGAGGAAATGTGATGCCGCAGCAGCTGGATGCGTGGATTGTGCGATGCCTAGGAGCAGGTAGGTGAGAACGTCCCAAGTGGTAAGTTCTCCCGGGAGACTAAAAGGTAAGCATGGTTTAACCAGGTGGGTAGCGGGAGTAGAGTGCATCAGGAAAGAGGCAGAGGAAGGATTGGAGAGCTTGGCAGACAAAGCAAAGGGTGAAGAGTGGCTTGTCAGAGACCAGCACAATAAGAAGTCTTAGGAAGATTTTTGAATGAGGTTTAAAATCATAGTTTCACGTTATCTAGGCTCAGCCATTGCCATTGTTGATTGTGGTTGGAGGGAAGGAGCTCTGGAGATTTTTGCACACCTTCAGGTTTAGAATTGACACATCACTCTCACAATGCTTTGCGCAGACAGATATGGCCCTATTAAGCACAGTAAGAATGGTAATTTCATGTTTGGCTTTTTAAGAAACTACTAACCTATTTCCCAAAGTGACTGCACCATTTTGTATTCCTACAATGATGTATGAGGAGTCCTGTAAATTAAAATTCAAGACAGTAATAGATGAGATATAATGATAGTACTAATTGCTAAGTTAATGATTGCTACAGGAATTTAGGATATACGGTATAGCTTGATCTAGTTCGTAAAAGAAGTAGGAGTTAGAAAAACATGAAACTAGGGAGAAAGTCATTGTGGGAGGATAGAATATTGAAACCAAAGCAGGAACATATTTAATGAGGATGGAAATATCACTCATTGTAATGCAGGGAAAAATCTAGTAAGGTCAGATTGTTAAGATTTAGAAATTCCTAAATTGAGAGGTTGGGGAGTATGGATTTCAAATGGTAGACTTTGGAGGACAGTGTAAGAAGCAGGGAGGAGCCAGACAGCCCTCAACTTGGATCCTGTCTGTGTCAGTGGGGAGAGACCCTGGGCTGGGAGCAGTGTAAGCAAACTCTAGCTCTTGGGTAAAAAGGGTCAAGTTGTATAGCTGGTGATGGGCATGACAGAAGCATAGCTATGGCATTGGGTCTTTCTGTCTGATAAGTTGTTAGACCCAGACCAAAACAACCGAGTGATCCTTTTGGCTTTACTTCCTGTATCCCCAGATTAACTTCAAAGCCACCAGGGATGGGTTGGATGGTTCTTTTCCTTTGTCTGTGTCTTAGAGAGTTCGGCCATCAGTGTTTCTGGAACAGGTGCTAGTGTGGACAGCAGTGGGGAGCCAGCAGGAGTGCTGTTTGGGAGGAGGGTTGTGTGGCCAGAGTCAACTTTTCCTGCCTTATGTGCAGCCCTACCCCTCCAAAAACAAGGATATCACTTTCTGTTGTTTTAACAAAAGTTACCAAATGTGTGCTTGGGTTCCTTGTGTCATCAAGCAGCCCAACCTCTCTTTAAACTGAACACTATGGAAATACTTCCCCAGATACCTTCACTGAGGAGAAACAAAAACAGTTGGCACAAGCATTTTTGGGCTAAGAACATAACTTTGGTTTCAATCCCAAGTTTAAAAATATACTTTTGTAGGAGGGAGGGAGTAATTGATACTGCCTGGTATTCTGTTAAAGGGGTAGTAAGGGGTGGTAGAGACACTTTGGAGGATATTTGACAAGTGTTTTATTAAAAATTACTGAATTAGAAAATTGGGAAATTATAAAATAGTAAAGATACATTTTGACATTGTTACTTAAATATAATACTGATTTTTTGGGGAGGGTATGAGGAATTAAACTCGGGACCTCACACTTGCCAGACTGGTACTGCACCACTGAGCTATATTCCTGACAATACTGATTTAAGAACTTTTTGAGATACTTATGGATTCTACTCACTTTGATCAGAATATTTTCATCTACTGCCTGTGAACTGCTTGTGTGAATACCCCTTTTCTTTGAAGATCTCCTCTAAGGTGAAGGGGATGCATTGGTTTCCAGTTTTTAGCAAGCTCCTTGGAGGCACTCGGTTCTATAATCAAGCTCCGTGTGCCCCTTAGCAGCACGTGTACACTGCCCCTTATGTGGAAGGCTGGCATTAATGAAGTAAACATACAATTGGATATTCCTATGAAAGTAGGAAAAATTGCTACTTTCTGATTTTTGCATTTATCATGGTGTTTAACTCTTGAAGCTTCACCTGTTCTGTGTGACCCATTCTGTGTGACCATTGGATGAATGAAGAAAGTCCCCAGCAATTTCACTTCTTCTTCAGTCAGCCCATCCTCTCTGCTGTGACTTGCTCATGCTGATCAGAATTTCCTAACCTCGAATGCATGGCAGTCCCTCTGCCTTAGCCTCCCAAGTGCTGGGATTGCAGGTGTGTGCTGCCAAGTGCAGTGCCCTGTCCTTGAATTCTGATCCCTTCTTGGAGTCTTCAGTGCTAGGAGTTCAAAACTGATCCTGGGCTGAAGACAGTGGCACATACTTGTAACCCCAGCTACCAAGATGGCTGAAGCAGGAGGTTTTCAGGTTCAAGTGCAGCCTGATTTTCTGCTTCTGGGCTCTTCCTTAGAGTGAGGGAAGAATGAA